GGTATTTAATAACTGAGTTAGTCACATATTTCATTTAAGTAAAATATAAATAAAAAAAACAGTCTATTTATGTTTTAAGTGTATGGGCAGATATTATATTAACTGCAGAGAAAGAGATAATGTTGTGTCTCTTTGTTCACATCTTTTAATTTTGAGTACAGTTAACGGTTTTTTCCTGGACTACTTACTAGATATACTTTTTATTTTATGCTTACTAATTACTGTGTATCTAGTTATAGATAGATGAAATTTTAAATTTGATTCTTGTTAATTAGGGCTATTCTAATCTTTCTTTCTTTTATATATAATATGGGTAGCAGTTGATCAATCATAATAAGCACGAAAGAGACAACATTAAAATATTCACATTCATGGCTAATTAACAACCTACTTAATTAAAGGGGAAGGGCAGTTAACAGCAGTTGTTGAAAGTTGAAACAAGATGCTTTTGTCATATATAGAACACTACTCTTCTAAGATGAATGAGTCTCTGATGAGTAGCGTTTTAGTTTGGTTAATTAAGACAGAAAAGAGACTGTCCCAATAATAAAAAAAATATGACTTCATTTATTGTATTTCAGTAAAACGTAGTGCTGAACGTTTCCTAATTTAGATTGTTTGGAGAAAAAACTTATTAAATAAAGAGGATTGGATAGAAGTAAAAACATGTTGTATCTGCAGATGTAATTTTATCATTTTTAGTCGCCATTCAATTTACTTGAGGGGTTGAAAATATATTTTACTTATCTTTAATAGTGAAATAAGTAATCTATAACTATATTTATTTAAAAATAAAAAAATATTTATAAAAGATACTCTAATATTTAAATTAATTATCAATTTCATACAGGTCGGCATAATTAATTAATATTATATTAAATACAAATTTATCTTTCTATTTTTAAAATGTCATTATTTATATTAATTTTATTGGATCTTGACTTTGATTATAAGTTCATTAATTATTTTATTACTTTTAACAATACTTCAATAATTTTCGTGGACGATTATATTCTTCGACAACAATTAAAAAAATATTCGACTTTATTGTTTGATAAAACCCTTATAATTTACAGGTGTTTGCATGAAACAAAGAAGTGGTTACCGGTAATTCTTTGCAACATATTGTGTTAGTTCATGAAAACAATTAATTACACGTAATTGTGTATTAAAAGTCATTAAAGATATATAATTGGTATGCATTAAAGTCAACTGGATTTTAGTCAAGGGACTGAATCATTTTCTACTTTATTTAAAAAGCATCAACCACAAGAACAAGAAAGAGACCCATCAACTTCTACAAACAGGCCAAACCATAAGATGCACGTGCCAAGAAAAGCAAAACTTAAAGAACCTTTTTATTCCATGGCACATTTTATGACTGAGTTTGAAACTTGATTTGATAGTTCACATTCTGGTATAGCATATCATCAATAACTAAACAACAAAACCACGAGTCCACGTAGCACGTAAACCTTCAACATCTAATCTATTTGCAGTTGTACCTACTCGTCCAATAAAATTAAAAGGAGCAATGACTAATGCCTCAACACTTACTAAATCATCCACAATAAAACTTACCCAAAAAAAAAAAAAAGAAAAGAAAACCTTGTACGACTTGGAGAAAGCTGAACTTCAAACTTATATGGTGTATTAGGTTTGATTAATACATTTGTCTAATCAATTAGGCCTTCGAGACAACTGAAGGTAACACCTTAATTTTTCCTTATTTTGAAGCACATAGTTTATCAAGAGAATGAAGTTAACGGTATAAGAAGATCCCATGACTAAACTACAACCACCCAAATTAGATTTTTTAATCTCTTGAAAATATCATATTACCGGTTTCATGGAACAAAACTATAGTGTCAATGATACCAAAAAAAAAAAAAAAACTATAGTGTCAAAATAGTATATTAATAGGAACAAAACAATCTCTTGAAAATATCATATATCAACTGCCGCTGGAGTATTAACCAACCCAAGGGACATTGACAAGCTTTGACTAAACCAATGGCATCATCCACATACTAAAAGACTCGACTCTTCAAAATTGTAATTGTTTTCTCCATCTTTATTATAGCTATATCAAAATTTATTGTTAACGAAAATTATTTAATGATAATAAATTAATTATTTCTATTTTAAAATATTAATAATTAATAAATAATAATAACTTAAAAAATTTAGGGTGTTATGTCGGGACCATGGGAACAAGTGGTTTGGATTTCTTTATGTTATCCACCAATATAGGATTTAAGATTTAGCCACCACAAACCCATCAATTCCTTCATTAGATGCAATCGATTTTGCAGGTTGAAGGAGTGCCTGCTAAGATTCATGCGCAACCACTTACACATGTAATTGATGTAAAAACATTCCAGACAAATTCACATGGGATGTTACCTTTACTTTAAGCAGGAGGGAAGATAGTAAATAATTCAACATTTTTATGTGAATATGTGCCTGACTGGGCTATATGGTACGTAGTAATATTTAAATAAACATCATTATATTATATTATTCATAACTACAATTTTTTAAGATGTAAGAGTTAAAACCAATAAAATATAATCAATGCCCTGCTAAAGAGTTAATATTTGCTTTTTATGCTGATGTCGCAAACCAATATGCTTTGTGCAATTCACGAGTATGTTCCTCCAAGTAGCTAAGACTCATCCAAGAAAGTATAGTCAAAATGTAGGAAACCATGGTTGAAATCCTAATACTAATACACGCGCAGTGTCTAGCTCATGCAGGTTTTCCATAAAAGTAAATGTCCCACCCAAAATAATGAGGTATATATATATATATATATATATATATATATATATATATATATT